CTCCTGCCAACCCAGCAGTTCGAAAGCACATCAAAGTGCAAGTAGATAAATAGGTACCGCTCTGGTGGGAAGGTAAACGGCGTTTCTGTGCGCTGCTCTGGTTTGCCAGAAGCGGCTTAGTCATGCTGGACATATGACCCAGAAGCTGCACACCGGCTCCCTCAGCCAATAAAGCAAGATGAGCGCCGCAACCCTAGAGTCGTCTGCGACTGGTCCTAACGGTCAGGGGTCCCTTTACCTTTAATATCACCAAGGCAGCTATCTGTAAACAAACACTAAAAGTACATAAAAATGGCAAAAGTAGTTTCTTTCCCCAAATAGGTTTTATCTCAAACAATAGCAAGCGCAGTAAATAAAGAGTATATCAGTGGTTCAGTGCTCATTTCTTCTCTTTCCAAAACAGATTTTATCTTGAACAATTGCAAACACAGTAATAAAGAAGGTTTGAGAACCACTGATTTAAAGCAACACCCTCAAAGAATCATGGGAACTGTAACTGACACACTCTGTCCAGTGCTTCTAGTGATGCTCTGTGGTATCTGAAGAGCAGGCAGAATTTGCACAGAAAAGTGTAACCCAAAATCTATTTACCTTTTATGCTTGTGAAGAAATATATCTTCACTGCTGCAGAATCTCCACAGGTTTCCTGTGTTGCAGGGGGTCTCATCCAGCTCTATAATTCTGCGATTAAGTGATGATAGGAACAATAGCCCGAAGCCCTCCTCCTGCTTTGTGTCTTTCTAGCCCCAAACTGGAAAGAGCAGGAAAAATGAGCCTCTAGATCAGAAAAAAGTGACAAGAAAACAAACTTATGTATGCCTCTCCCTTGTGCATTGTGGATTCTTGAGGAGCTATTTACTGAGACCTTTCATAAGAAGTTCTGATGAGGGCAGCAGCCATGCCAGTTTGGTGCCCGCTGGCATCAAACGTTCCCTGAAACATCACGTACTCCAAGTACACTGCTTGTCCAAGCACAATTCAAAGCATTGGTGCTGATCTTTAAAGCCCTAAACAGTTTTGGCCCTGTATGAAGCATCTCCACCCCCATCATTTAGGCCAAACACAGAGGTCCTCCTTTGAGGGCCTTCTGGCGGTTCCCTCACTGCGAGAAGCGAGGTTACAGGGAACCAGGCAGAGGGCCTTCTCGGTAGTGGCACCCGCCTTGTGAAACTCCCTCCCATCAGATGTCAAGGAAATAAACAACTATCTGACTTTCAGAAGACATCTGAAGGCAGCCCTGTTTAGGGACGTTTTTACTGTTTGATGTTTTATCGTGTTTTTAATGTTCTGTTGGGCTGGATGGGCGGGGTATAAATAATAAATTGTATTATTATTATTATGGATTTGTTCTTCCAGAGTTATTCCAATTCTTCACCAGTCTGTTTCTGTTCCAAGATTCTAACTATCACCATTCCCAAACTGTCTGCTATTTCTTACCGTTTCATATATGATCAACAGCTTCAGATTGTATAGATTAAAGGTAAAGGGACCCCTGACCATTAGGTCCAGTCGCGGATGACTCTGGGGTTGCGGCACTCATCTCGCTTTATTGGCTGAGGGAGCCGGCATACAGCTTCCGGGTCATGTGGCCAGCATGACTAAGCTGCTTCTGGCAAACCAGAGCAGCGCACGGAAATGCCGTTTACCTTCCCACCAGAGCGTTAACCTATTTATCTACTTGCACTTTGACGTACTTTCGAATTGCTAGGTTGGCAGGAGCGGGGACCGAGCAACGGGAGCTCACCCTGTTGCGGGTAATCGAACCGCCAACCTTCTGATCGGCAAGCCCTAGGCTCTGTGATTTAGACCACAGCGCCATCCACGTCCTTATTGTATAGATTGGTTTATGGCAAAACTCAAGACAAGGCAAAGGTGTTGTACTTGAAAGATTCACAAGCCTCTGCAATCCAGGTTGTGCATGCTCTGTGCTATGGAAACCAATTTCCTCCCCATCAGCCTCAACAAGTATTCTTAATGGTCGAATTCCCTTTCATGCAACAGGTTCACCAATCCTGCCATAGATGCCACCCCAGGTGTGCTGGATTGTTGGCACAAACCCACTTAGGGATAATAAACTGTGGCATGCCAGTCTTTTAATTCCCAATCCTTCCCACACATGCTGGATTAGGGAGCCGTAAAACTGGGTTTAATGGAAATAAAGAGATGGTTGTGGGTGGAAGACCTTCTGAGTTGTACGTTGCTAAATGTACAGATCAGTCGTACGTTGCTAAATGCAAAAGCACACCATGCCAATTTCCCCTCTGCAATTAAAGTTACTATTCTAAGCTTGAACCTGATACTTATATTTAAAATGCACTGTTATTAGGAAGGGGGGGGGGGGAGAGGACCCACTTCTTATGTTTCAGAGAGACAGTTGTTACCTGAAAAACGCTTGAGGGCTTATACTCTTGCAGGATATTTGGCACAACCCATTATTGTGCGCAGACAAATTCTTTGGTGAGAATAATACAAGCAACCTTTAATGACACCTTGTGCAATAACAACTTATGATATAGTACTTGGATGGAGCAACAATTGCATTTTAAGCCAAAGGCTGGGGTGGGGGGGTAGGTGTTCTCGTGCGTGAGAAGCTTGTTAGATACCCTCAGGTCACTCCATATAACTCTAAGGCAGCAGGTAGATTCTTGCTTAGCTAATCATGGCATCAAGGCCTGCAGCAACTGGAGGTGGTTGACGATGTACTTGAGTTTCAGATGAACTGCTTTGTGAATGATATCAGTTTAATTCACTCTTCCAGAGTGCATGGCAGGCTCAGGTCGTCTTTGTTTTGCTAAGTAGGGATTGCAGCTGGGAACGGGTGCGAAACACAGCCATTTTTGAGACAAATGGTCACCATCCCACAATTACTTACTTACTCATTTATTTATAAAACTGTTTTGCATTGTGCCATCGCACAAAACAGTAGGGAGCTGCGTCACAACGTTAATTAAAAGTTTTAAAGCAGTTGTTGGCATCCGTCTGTCTTGAGAGACAATGGAGTGCACCTCCGGGGGTGAAATCAAACCGCTGGAGAATCACTGGGCCCGCTGTGGCTGTGGAGACCAGTAACTCGTAACTGCTGCCTCCTGTCTTGTTTTTGTTAAGTTGTGGGTGAACATATCAGACGACACAGCCATTCCTCAAACAGTCCTTGTTTATTCACAGGCCAGAACAGAACTGGGCTGAAGGGTTCAGCCAACCTGCTTATATAGCGTTCAACTGCAAAGCAACAGTAACAACTTTCTGTAACTATCCAATCACTGAACGTCACTTTCAGTTCCTTATTTGCATATGCGGACCTGAGTGAAAACTATCTACAGTATCCCCCTGCTGGCTCAGGGTGAGAACTTCAGTACATAACAGTTTTTGCTGTTTTAGCAGCACTGAAGTGACCACTCTGGGGTGCAAGCCTGGGCAGTGCCTGTGGAGGTCCGGGGTTGTCCAGACAACAGCCCCCCCCCAGCTTTGCCGATGTGGTTCCAAGGAAAGCAGAGCAATATGTTGGCACCAGCTTGGCTGCAGGAATTGCGGGAATAAGGTATACGGGATGTCATCTGACTGTCTTAGGGACGTCACTCCAGATTTGTGTAGCCTTAGCCCTTTCTTCTCCTGAAGATGTCCCGGAAGGCAGTGGGAACAAAACAAATAATTTAAAAAGCACTACAAAACCATCATTAAAACGATTTGCCAAATTATTGGCCAAATCCATCTGTTTTTTTGCTGCTCTGATTTTGCATGCATGTTAAAAAATATGCTTGTTTTCTTATTTGAGAAAGGCTGACGTTTGAACAGGCTCCGGAAGAAGGGAAGAAAGACAGAAGGGCCACTCCATCAGTTCTGCTGAGAAACCAGCTCCATTTGAGTCCCCCTTTTTCTGAACTGTTTTGATCTCTGCTGGTTGTTAGCAGAACTTTGTGGTTGGTGTCTGAGTTAGGTTCCCCTGGTCCCGTTCTCTCCTCATGCCCTTTTGCTCTTGTGTCATATCATGTCATTTATTCATTTACCTTATTAAATTTACAAATCACCTTTCCTCATGAAGGTGCCCAGGACAACAAAATAAATAAATAACAGACATGCTCTGCCTGCACTAGTGTTGGAAGCGCCTGTCAGAGTCATGTCTCTCAGTTTTTCATGTTTCCAACCTGAAATTCAGTTTTCCACGTATCTGCAGCAATTTGCAATTTTTAATTTTTTTTAAAAAAATTCCTTGTAATTCTTCAGTGTTTGAGTGTGCATTATTCCCAACAAACCAATTCTTGAAAGTGGATTTGATGAATGCACACTTTTTTTTGCAAACCTTTTCTCCTAATGTATGCCTGCTATTTTGTATTTGTATGCTCTTGCCCCCAGTGCATTCATTTTTAGGTGCACTTTTTACCTAATGTCTGCATTTTTGTAAACACTGATTGGTAGGAAAACAGCATGGCAAAATTTGGATACGTGTGGATTTTGAAGGCTGGCTTGTGTTTCAGTTCTCATACTGTTTTGGAAGTGCACACGTCCCTAGTGCAGGATAGTAATAAGAAATTATTCTCTGCAACCAAAATTCCTGGTACGATTTCTTAAAATTTGACGTCAGCTCAGTATCATTTTGTAGCACAATTAGTTGTTCCTTCACTGCCCAACTTCCTCAGTATCTGAAAATGGATTCGTCACCCATTCTGGAATTAGCATCAAAAGACGACCATCAGCTATATCTAGCATATCCAGATGGTTGCAAAAAAACTTGAAGATCATTATCTTGCATCTCACCATTTTCTTCTAGCTACAATGGGCTTAGAAACTGGTATAGCTCACAGCAGCTTATATTGCGCTTGAATAGAGTCAACTTTTCAATAAACATAGAGATGACAGATTTGGCCTTAATAAGATTGGTCTCATTTCCTTGCAACTGCTAACTGAAGTTTGCAAGTAGTTCTGATAAATAAGCAATGGCATGCCTAACCTGTTTGAATTCATCACTGAGCAAAGCATTAATGTCTCTTTAAAAAAAAAACCCTCCACAACAGTATTAAGAAGGCTGCAAAAGTCTCCCATCCAAGTACTAACCAGGCCTGACACTGCTTAGCTTCTGAGATCAGACGAGATCGGGCGTGTTCAGGGTAGTATGGCCGTAGACAGATATGAAATTATACTATGAAGCAGCTTGCCTATGTTGGTTAAAGGAATGGATAAAACTAGAAAATAAGGAATTACTAGATCTTGAAGGTTTTGATAACAGATTTGGATGGCATGCATATTTATGGTGTGACAAGAAGAAAGTTCATAAAGGTTTTGGGAACCACATCTTCAGGAATTCGTTAATAGAAGTATGGGACAGGTACAAAAATTTATTGGAACCAAGAGTTCCACATTGGCTATCTCCATTGGAGGTTATGAGTGTAAAGAAAATTAATATGAGAGGTAAATGGATTACGTATGGTGAATTGGTAATTAAAGAAGGAGGAAAATGGAAATTAAAACCATATGAACAAGTTAAAGATCACGTATGTGATTGGTTGCATTATTTCCAGATAAATGAAATGTTTAAAAAAGATATAAAAGAAAGTGGTTATGGAGAAAAAGATTCAAAGTTTCAAACAGATATAATAAATAATGAATGTAAATTTTTGTCAAAAATGTATAAGATATTGTTGGAATGGTATACAAAAGATGAAGAGGTCAAATCGGTAATGATACAATGGGCCTGTGATGGGATTATGAGCTGCTTGTGCGTAAAATCGTATTCCCTCAGAGTTTGTTCAAGTCCACAAACCTCTGTCTGTGACTGAGCCCCTCTGACATGGCTCCTCTTAGTCACTAGAAGATTCCGACAGTGGTTGCTTTCGTAATCGCTTCCAACATAAAAGCTCCTTAACGGAAACACGTCTTCTGGACTCTCTGCGTGACAGTTTCCGGCGAGGAGTGGGTGTCGCTACAGGAGGTCCGGAAACCTCACCACTGTTTTCGCTGGAAGTATCTCTGAGCCATCCCCCAGCTCCCTTTCCTCAGTTCAGCTTCTCTCCCCTGCTGGTTTCCTCTTCAGCTGCTGAGTCACTTCCAACCTGTCTGAGCCCTTTCACCTCCCTCAGTTCAGCTTCTCTCCCCGTGCTGGTTTCCTCTTCAGCTGCTGAGTCTCTTCCAACCTGTCTGAGGCCTTTCACCTCCCTCAGTTCAGCTTCACTCCCCATGCTGGTTTCCTCTTCAGCTGCTAAGTCTCTTCCAACCTGTCTGAGTCCTTTCACCTCCCTTCCTACCGATGGCAGTTCCCTGACATCCACCTCCCCTCCAGGGCCCCCTTCACCCCCTCTCGCCCCCTCCTCTACGGGCGGTGAGGAGGCAAAACCCCGGAATGAACTTCCTTCATCTTCCGATGTCTCGAACACTTCTCTCCACCTGTTGCGGTTCCTGGTCTCGAAGCACTCCTCCTCCTCCGAGTCCATCTCCCCTTCCCCTTCCGATTCTGGGAATCCTTCCAACTCCTCCTCCTCCTCAGTGGTCCCAAAGTATTCCCTCCGGAACCTCTCCACAGGCTGAGGTTTCCGCGGGAACCTTTGATGGAACATTTCTATCAATACCTCGTCATTGATATCTTTGGCCATTACCCACGTGTTTTCTGACTCCGGTTCTCCTTCCCACGCTACCAAATACTCCACCTGATTCCCCTTCCACCTGGCATCAAGGATTTCTGCCACATGACTGCTGCATTCTCTTTCTTCTATGACCGGTCCCCGAGTGGCCATCCCTTCTCGTCCCCTCGTACGGTGACAGTAACGACCTGTGAAATACTGGGTGCAGTTTCATGTGGTTGGGTAACCGGAGCCTGAAAGCCACTGGGTTGACCTGTTGAATGACCTCAAAGGGACCCAACCTCCTGGGTCTTAATTTCTTACAACCTCCTTTGAACGGCAACCCTCGGGTTGACAGCCACACCCTCTCTCCAACCCTTATGGTTTCACCTTCCCTTCGGTTCTTGTCTGCCTGCCTCTTGTATTCTTCCTTCGCCCTTTCTAAGTTGAGTTGGAGCTGACGGTGGATTGCTTCCATTTCTTCTACAAAATGCTCGGCTGCCGGTACGCTCCATCTCTCCCCTTCTCCCCTGGGAAAGCCCTGGGATGACACCCATAATTAGCCAAGAAGGGGCTCATCCCTGTGGACACATTCTCGGCATTGTTGTAGGCAAATTCCGCCAGCGCCAACTTTTCTACCCAGTCATTCTCTCTGTCATTGACATAACACCTCAGGTATTGCTGGAGGACACCGTTTGCTCTTTCCGCCTGCCCGTTGGTTTCAGGGTGCCGGGCAGTCGAAAAGTTGACCTCCACCTGCAGTAAGCTCATGAGCTTCCTCCAGAACCTGGAAGTAAATTGTTTTCCTCGGTCTGAGACCACCCTCAATGGCACCCCGTGCAACCTAAAAATGTGTTCTACAAATAACTTTGCTGTCTCTTCCGCCGTGACTGCATGCGAGCAAGCTACAAAGTGGCACATCTTTGTTAGTAGGTCTACCACCACCATGATGGCTGTTTTCCCTTTGGACTTCGGCAGATCAGTCATAAAATCTATCGACACTGCCTCCCAAGGTCGTTCTGGTGTTGGTAAGGGTTCTAATAGCCCCGCCGGCGCCCGCCTTTCCCCTTTGGCTCGCTGGCACTGCTCGCACCCTCTTACATACTCACGTACATCCCCCTCACCTTAGGCCACCAAAATTCCCTGGTGACCAACCACATGGTTTTGTGTTGCCCAAAATGCCCCGCCGTGGGGCTGTCATGCAACTGCTTGAGTACCCTCACCCTTAAGTCTCCTTCAGGGATATACAGTGCCCCTTTGTAATACAAAGCTCCATTTCTTTCCTCGAAACCCCTTGATTCCTCTCCCTCATCCCTAAGACCTCTAAGCTTATTCTGGGCGTATTCATCATTCTCTGTTTCTTCTACCAGTTCTCTTTGTCCCACCAATGCCGCCCCACACACCCAGCGGTCCTCTGGAATGACATGTCTCTCTTCGGGTGCTCCCTCCCCTCCAAATATTCAGGTTTGCGTGAGAGAGCGTCCGCCCTAATATTCTCTGGGCCTGGCACGTAACAAATCTCAAAGTTAAATTTGGAGAATTCCTGAGCCCATCTCACTTGCCGTTGGTTGAGCACTCGTGCCGTCCTCCAATACTCTAGGTTCTTGTGGTCAGTGCACACTTGCACCTTATGTTGTGCGCCAATTAGCAGGTGCCTCCATCTCCGGAACGCCTCATGAATGGCTAGTAGTTCTCGGTCATACACCGTGTAGTTCCTCTCGGATTTGTTCAGCTTTCGCGAAAAAAGCACACGGTCTCCACTCTGACTCCTCCTTCCCTGGCTGGAGAAGCACCGCCCCAACCGCTCTGTCTGATGCATCAGTTTCCACTCTCATCGGTTTTTGTAAATCCACATGCAGGAGCTGTTGTTCCGAGGCGAAGGCCCTTTTAGTTCCTCAAATGCTTGCTCCGCCTCCTCCGTCCAAACGAACTTCTTCTTACTGCTGAGACAGTCCGTAATGGGCGCCGTCAGGTGGGCAAAGTTTGGGATGAACTTACGATAGAAGTTCCCAAACCCTAAAAACCTCTGCACATCCTTCCTTGTTTTGGGTGTTTTCCATTCCAGTACCGCCTGGACCTTGCCGGGATCCATGGCCAACCCCTTGTCAGACAGGCGATACCCCAGGAATTCCACCTCCTTGGTATGAAACTGACACTTCTCCAGTTTCACCCACAGCTGGTTGGCTTGCAGCCTGCTCAACACTTCTCTGACGTCTCTCACATGCTGCTCCTCATTCTCAGAATACACCAACACGTCGTCTAAGAAGGCCACACAATTCTTGTAAAGCAACGGCCCCAGGACGTGGTTCATAAACGATTGAAATGTTGCGGAGCCTGCTTGTAGACCGAAGGGCATAACTAAGTATTCAAATGCCCCTAAAGGGGTGAACATGGTGGTTTTCCATTCATCCCCCTTCCTTATTCGTATCAGGTTGTACGCCCCCTTAGATCCAGCTTGGTGAAAATCTTTCCCTTTCGCACCCTTGTCAAAATGTCGTCAATCCTGGGCATCGGGAAGGCCACTGGTTCTGACACTGCATTTAAGGCCCTGAAGTCACACACCAGTCTCGGCTTGTTCGTGTTTTTTTGTCCACAAAAACACTGGGCTGCCCCCACCGCCCTGGACTCTCTGATGAACCCTCTCTTCAGGTTCTTGTCAATGAACTCTCTTAGCTCCTGCATCTCTCTGTCTGACATGGCGTACAGCTTGCCCACAGGGAGCTGTGCCCCAGGGAGCAAATTGATTTGACAGTCAAAGGCTCTATGCGGTGGTAGTTGGTCAGCTTCCCTTTCGCTGAAGACGTCGCGGAGATCTGCGTATTGTCGTGGTACCTTCACGTTCTCCTTCACTTCAGTCCCTGCTAGGGTGGCTTGGGCCCCTGCCAAAACCTTTCCCTCTTTGCAATGTTCTAAGCAATGTGCTGACCCAAAAGAAACCACTCTCTGATGCCAGCCCACCAGCGGATCATGTAACGCTAGCCAGCTCATCCCCAATATAATGGGAGCTCCTCCCAAGGTGGCCACATTAAAAGCTATCAGTTCAGTGTGCCTTGCCACCTTCATTATCATTGGGACGGTCTGCAAGCTGACTTCTCCTCCCAACAGCTCCCTGCCATCGATCGTGGTTACCTGCAGGGGGTTGCTTAAGGGAGCGTCTGTATCTGGTGTTCAGCTGCAAACTCTTTGCTCATGAAATTGCAGGAGCTGCCTGAGTCCAACAGCGCCTTTATCTTTAGAGGGTGTCCGTTTGGGAGCTCTAGTGTCACTTCTATCACTAGGGCGGGTTTAGGAGGTTCTGGAGTGGGCACTTTCACTGCTCTTTGGCCTGGCTGCTGTGCCCCGACAATGGCAGCCAGGCGTTGGCTTTTAGTTGCTCCGGTATTTTTCCTCTCTTCCCTCCACAGCTCCCACCATCCCTTGCCATTCCTTCCTCTGGGGGCAGACTCTGGCAAAGTGCCCTGGCTGTTGGCAGAGATAGCATTTCCGGGCGCCTTTTCCATCCTTCTTTCCCCCTCACTGGGCTTTGAAACTGCGCGCGCGCGCTGTTCCGATTTCCATCGGCTCTGCCGGC